GCGCTTTACAACATATGGATAATAGTAATGGTTATAATTGTGAAAACAAACAACAAAGGCTTGCAATCACTTTCATACATTTAACAAGCAATGTGCACATAATTGAACAAATAAAAGGGTGGTATTTACAGGACGTCTTTGCAAAGATTCTAAAATGCAGACGTGAGGAGGTGAGTTTTTATGTCCCTCTTGAACTTGACCAGGGTATTTGACTTCCTAATAGCAGATGGTAAGCTATTCCACAACGTAGCCGAAACCCTCCCAAAGCATCTGTTTCCGTAGGTCACAGTACGAGATTTTGGGACACACAACAAAGATTCTGACTCCGATCGCAGTGATCTTGACGGCTGATACAGGGTAACAAGTTCCTGTAGGTACTTAGGTACTGAGGAGCTGTTCCATTCAGTGCCTTGTACGTGTATACCAGAATTTTGTACTGCGACCTATATCGTACAGGTAACCAGTGCAACGAATAAAGCGCAAAAGTAGCACAAAAGAATCGTTCATTTTGGATTCAACAAAGTCATCAAAACCTTTTCGAGATGCTTTTTCTCCTTGGGGGATTCCGCTGGGTTTTGCACGTGTCGTGATAGGGGGCATATGTATTTCCGGTAAACAACGATAAACTAACACCAGTTAAAATATTAAGCAGAAACAACGTTTTGCAGTTTCCGATTAGTCAGTAGATATCCCTTTTATAAATGATGCGACATTTCAGCCGTTTTCCACCAAACATTACCAATCTTGCACTGCAATGAGATTGGCTTACTACTGATTTAACTGCGTCAGGAATGCATGTACAGGTAAGTTTTTTCATTAATTTCATTATTCATTGCAATTTTGCGCCACTAAAATTCTGCATTGAAACGTTACTTTTCAGACAAAGTCAACAATATTTTCAACAAATAATTTCTGCAAAGGTCATTATTGACACTGTTCTTGACATGGGTATACCAACAAATTTCCATATTTTTATCATTTTGAGGAAAAGTTATGAGCCCATCTCATACTATATACACCGACATGAGCCTGTATGAAATACCTTAACAGTAAGAGCTCCCAGTTAAAAGAACACAAGGCGAAACAATGTGACGTCGTGGTTTGCACCGACGCGTCCGGAGAAGGATACGGGGGCTACCTACAGCATGCAGATAGACCAGTCCAATGCGATGTCGTACGCGACACACAGGTATGTAGCACATGGGAATGTTTACCGTTAGACACGGACCATGTTGACACAGACGTCACAGACATATCGCATGAAGGCGTGACGCTTGTTACAGCAGTATTGGCCCCCTTGGGGGACGACACAGGTAGGGTTGCAGATCCCTATGAGGGGCGACCTGCAGGAGGTCTTGGTGATGACGGCCCGAGCGGGGCGCAGCCTCGGGGAGGCCACTGAGATAGTACTCTGGTCCGCTCGGAGGGTCGAGAGTTAATCATCACAGGGCCTAGGCGGCCTTCAGTTGGCCAGCAGTTTGCTTACGGAAGTTCAGTTTCGCAGTACCCCGAGCGAGGGGCGACCTCGTGGAGGTCAAGGGGTTAGCACCGCGGGTGCCAGGCGGCTTTTGGGTTGCCAGTTGGTTGGTTCTCCTGGTATGGGTCGACCCTCAGGGGGTCAGGTACATTTAAAGAGTGTTCCGAACCAGGGACCACCTCACGGAGGTAGTATAATTTCGATCCCTCATGGAGGGGGGCTTCGTGGTGGTCACGCAGTCAGCGACATTGAGGTAGATGTGGCACTCACACAGGGTCAAGAGGTAAGTCTCCCCTCAGTCGGGGATGTGTGCCACATGGACAGCCGCGTATCAATAGGCACGTGGAACGAAAGAGAGAAAACATATAGCTCAACTTGGAGGGAGTTGGAGGCTATGAAAAGGATAATCCTTGACAAGGTAGACTCGATCAGAGGTAAGCATGTTAAGTTATTGACTGGCAACAAGAACGTTTGTTCCATAGTGAAAACAGGGAGTAGAAAATCCGATTTACAAGGTATAGAACGCGAAGTAAATGACGAGTGTCACGAAAATAGCATAGACATCACTGCGCAATGGCTACCTAGGGAAAGAAACGAAACTGCAGATTATTTAAGCAGGTGTGAGTATTGTGACGACTGGTCAGTACAGGCATGGGTGTTTGATTTATGTGAGGCATGCTGGGGCCACACCTAGTTGATCGTTTTGCTACGGATTACAACAGCAAGTGCATATGTTTTAATTCCAGGTGGTGGTGCGTGGGCACCGATGCCATGGATTCGTTCACAGTTACATGGCAGGGGGTAAACAACTACTGGTTAATGCCACCCCAAAGCTCATTTGTCACGTTATAATTATTTCTTTATTTCCTCCAAATTGAAGAGTTACAAAAATGTACAGTGTAGTCAAAATACAAATCAAATATTATTAATTGATACTTAAATGCACATAAATACATCAGTTAACTACAGAGATGAAGAGAGAAGTTAATGAATCTTGAATTAGTTTAGTAAATATAGAAAGAATGGTCTCGTTAACAGCAATTCATACACAATAATTAGAATGCCTGGGAATCCTGAGGTTTCCAAGGGTTGGGGAAAGCCCTACCAACAAGGTCCTCTCAGGCTTACCCACATAAACACACACAAAATAAGAGAAAAAATAGTAATTAGGTAGACATTGCTTTTGTACGTACATTTGTACGTGTTATTTCATTATTAACGCTGATACAACAGCAACATTTTGTCAACAAAAATAGCATTATGCAGTACAAAGGTTACATAATCAGATGAGCTTAATATGTGGGGAAGGCTACCCCCAAGTAGCGGAAGGTTCCTAGAAATATTGTAAGGAATGAACGCTATTGTAAAATATGTAATTCTGTAGATATAGAGGACGAATATCATTTTTTGCTTATTTGTCCTATATACCAAGAGCTCAGATCAAAGTGTATACAAATGTATTACTGGAGAAAACCATCTGTTCTTAAGTTAATACAATTACTGTGCTCAACAAATGTAAAAGAACTAACTACAGGTTTAGCAAATATATATATGATGCCACTAAATTGAGGAAGACTATGATATAATGACATTTAAATGTGTCAAATCTTTTGTCCATTCTCAGCTGCGTTTTGCAGTGTCTGCCAATGTATTTATATTGTTACATGTACACTGATAAGCTGGAAAGCTTAAAGTTAATAAAGAATAGAAATTCCACGTGTCAAACCTTACCTATGGTTATTAATTTGTAATTACACATTGTAATTAGCTTTGCTCTATTGAGATGTGTTCTTGATAATATATTGTGATCTTCTTGATGTCAATTTCTGGACAAAATGACCGCTGAATACATGTGGAGATAACGTCTCGGGCCTGATTTATGTGACCGCTGACCGCATTAGAGAGGGGTGGCTGCTTATTTCAGGTTTATTGTATATATTTTTGTATATCGGGCGGACCACAAACTGATCTCCTAATGGGGGTGGCTGCTTTTTTCAGATGACCGCTCAAGCAGGTTTGACCGCAGTTTGTTTGCCTGCACTAACAAATATAGTATCCATCAATTCTTCAATAAATTCTTCACCTATTCTTTTTAAATACGTCCGAAACGATTTTATCAACTCTGCAGTGATACAAAATACGTAAAACAGTTCGAACAAAGATATACTTGAATAGTATTTAGTATTTACATCGTAAAGCTATGACATATGTATAAAATCCCGAAAACATATA